CATGCCCACGTGCTGGGTCTACTAGGGTCCCCTCTGTGCTACATGCTTAGCATGCTCCGCTTTCTCCCTGGGTGTCCGCTGGGCCTTTCACGGCTCCCTCGGCATGTGTGTGCTTGCCAGCAAGTGTGACTCTTTGGCCAGGGATGGATACACCTGGGCACCTGTCCCTGAGTGGGTGTAGGTGACAGGAGGCGGGCGGGAAGTGATGAGCAGCTATTGAGGGAGGAGAGAAGGATACATGAAGGAGGGGGAATGATAAGAGGCTGACGTTTAGAGCTTAAGTGGGGAGGTGGCCGGGGGCGGGAGGGCAAGAGAAGACCCTCTAGAGGAAGGGGGCTCAACACAGGGTCATAGACCTGCTCCTGTTACCACCAAGCCCTACCGCCCACCCACACAAGCCACCCACTCCCTGATCCCACACCCACCCCATGCGCAGAGGCCACCCCCACAACACTGTACCCACACCTCTGTGCCCGTTCCCACGCGCCCACACTCCCATGCCCTCTGCCCTCACCCCTCCCACCCTCACGGGCACCCCCTTCCCAATATCCCCAACTCTTGCTTCTATGGCAGGGAGGGGTTTCTCCCACGGGGCTCCTCAGCGCTGCTCCACAGGAGGCGTGCCCCGGCCGCTGCACTCCCGGCTGCCGGGGGCCGGGGCGCGTTCCTCACCCCCCGGGGCCTGCACTTCCGCCGCTTCGACGCGTGGCGCGCTTGCGCAGAGCCCTGGGCCGCCAGCCTGGCAGAGGGGCCCGCGAGCCGACGGGAGCCGCTCTCCTTAGTACTAACAGGCCATTTTCTCCCGCGGACCTAGCCCCCCCAAGTAGGGGACTGGCCTCCCTGCCCCTGGCTGCCCCTCCACGTGCAACTGTTCTGAAATATTTCTCAAATACAGAAAAGTAGGGCCCCTTGGCCTCAGCATTTTTTCCTTAAAAAGGCAGATTTGAAGCCGCCTGTGCACACCCATTCCTGACCCCATTCTTTTCCTTCCCTCGCCGGAGGGATTTCGGTTTGTCCTTCTGATGCACGTTTTCTCCTATTTATGCCATTAATGAGCAGGAGTGCTTCCATATACCACACGGAGGAACATAGCATGAGCTTTTGTTTGCTTGTTTTAAAGATTTTATGTATTTATTTGAGAGAGAGATAATGAGAGATAGAGAGCACGAGAGGGAAGAGGGTCAGAGGGAGAAGCAGACTCCCTGCTGAGAAGGGAGCCCGACGTGGGACTCGATCCCGGGACTCCAGGATCGTGACCTGAGCCGAAGGCAGTCGCTTAACCAACTGAGCCACCCAGGCGCCCTCTTTTTTTTTTTTTTTTTTTTAAAGATTTTATTTATTTATTTGAGAGAGAGAGAGAGAGAGAAAGAGAGAGAGCACGAGAGGGAAGAGGGTCAGAGGGAGAAGCAGACTCCCTGCTGAGCAGGGAGCCCGATATGGGACCCGATCCCGCGACTCCAGGATCATGACCTGAGCGAAGGCAGTCGCTTAACCAACTGAGCCACCCAGGTGCCCCAGCATGAGCTTTTGATACGTTCTGCCCCTGGTGGTTCCTTGGGCTGCTTCCAGTGTTGGCTGTTAAGACGATGCTGCTCACAGCCCATGGCTTGGTTTGGGCTCCCTCTTCTGTTTGCGCTGGTTTTCCTACTGTGTTGTTTGTATTTTCTTAGTGTTTTGTTGGAATTCTTTATAGAATATTCTGGATAATCCTTTATCAGTTCTAGGCATTGTAAGCATCCTCTCTTAGCCTGTCTTATCTTTTCACTGTGTTTCTGTCCCTTGTTCGGAAGTTTTACTTTTAACATAGTCAAATTTATGTCTTCCATTCTTGCTTTCCCATTGTTCATCTTAAGAATTCTCTATTCCAACATCATGGACATTGTTCTCTCACCTCCACGGTAGGCAGTTTTGCTTTGTCCATTTAGGATTTTGATTCCAGTTTGGATTGTTTGCCAGGGGCTTGGAGTGGTGGCAGCAGGGGAGGGAGGTGGTGAGCGGGAGTGGGTCTTGGGTGTCTTGGTGGGGAGAGCCTCTGGGCCTGTGGAGACATTTGCATGTGACTCAAGGTGGGGAATCTGAGGGCTAGCCGGCCTGAGTTCAGACGTGCTGAGACTGGAGCAGGCACCTGTGGTCCTTCTGTAACTCATGTTGGCAGGACGAGGGCAGGGCTTGAGGCAGAGCACTGGGTCGGTACTGTGTGCCTGGCCCCGGGCTACTTTGCTCATCACCCCACACTTCCCCACCTTGCCCGTAGCCCTCACCTGCTCTGGGAGGGGCTCATTTCTAACTGGTCAGGGCCTGTCTCTGCCCCACTTATCTTCATTAGCTTGGGAGCCTCCACTGACTGAGGAAGAGGAGAGAGGAAGCTGAAAGAGCATGTGGGTCAAGGGGAAGGCTGCTGGGCACCCCAGGCCTCCCTGTGATGACCCCATCTCTGCAGGTGCCCACCCTCCTCTTGACGTCCCAGCCCACCCTGCACCCCCCTCCCCACTCTCTGGGCCCAGTTTCCATAGCAACATGGCCGCAGGCTAACCAACAGATTCCAGGGAGAAAGACATTCCTGCGTTTCTCAATGTCACCTGAGCCCTCCTATTGCACACTTGTGGCCCTGCTGCGGGAGTTTCAGGGGGACACGTAGCCCTTGGAGATACTGAGGACAGCCCAGCCCCTTCTGCATTTTAGGGAAGCCCTTGACTTAAGGGCAGTGGGGAGCTGGTCAATGTCCGAGACAAAAAGCCTTGGTTTGGAGCAGTTGCTGATTTCCGTGGTGTAAATATCCCCATCGCGGCATGATGTCACTCAGCACGGGAAGAGACGCACAGGCACACGCCATTATATAGCATCTCCTGTCCCCAGACACGCTAGGCACAAATACGAGAGTGTAGTAAGATAATTAGAAAGTCATGAGCTTGGAGTACTTACTGCTTTTGTTTTGAATATAATGCATTCCGTTGTAAGATCAGTCCATCAAAGTGTTGGTAACGGCTGGCTCACAGATTTCCAGACAGCTTCACAATCGCCTCTTCTAGGGTCTTCCAGGCCATTCCTCACATTCCCTCTGTCTACAGCCTTTCCCACACTGCCTGGCCTGCAGCTTCCCGAAGAATTTCTCCCGTGCACTCAGCCTTCACCCCCCACCCCCCGCCTTTATACTGCCTCCTCCCCGGTGGTACCGACCACATTCTCACACTTACCCTTAGTTGGCAACTAATACCTTCTTGGCAGATGCTTGTGTTCTTCCTTATGGTTTTCTCTATTTTTCAAATGTTCTACGATGAACCTGTGTTTCTTTTATAAGTAGACCAGATTGGTTAAAACATTTTTTTCTGACCACGGTGAGTTTGTGGAGAGGGGAGACGTCAGTACTGAGATTCTTATCTACAAGGACATAATGAAGTAGCAGATAGGTAATTATTTGCTTTCCTAAGACAGGCCTCTCCCTGGGATGACACCCAGGGGTTAGTCTCTTACGTAGCAGCCTGGAGACACGATTTTGCAGTTGGATTGGGCATCTCTCTGCAGAACTCCCAAACCCCTGAGACACCCAGGGACAGAGATGGCACTGTGGGAATTCGGAGACCGGGACAACCCGGCCACTGTGCCCAAGTGCGGCCCTTCTCCCCTTTTTCGGTGGGCAGGTGTTGGGTCCGCGGGCCCTGCACTCTCCGCGCGGACTGGCAGGGACTCACAAGCCTCCCTCTCTCCCTTCCTCTGATGCGGGCCAGGTGCCCTCTGCTCAGGGAGCCTTCCCTACCCCCTTCCTAGATGGGGTGTGGCCGGCCCTCTGCTTCCTTAGCAGCCTCTCAAAGGTCTGGTTCCATGGTTACCCACGGGGTGTAGCCATTTGGAGTATCCCTGCTGGTGTGTGTCCTCCCTGGGCCCAGAACAGCCCTTCCACGAGCTGCTGAGTGGATTAGGAGACCCTGCCACCCCCTTCCTCCAGGAACTGCTTCCTGATCCCTGCCTCCCGCCCCTCACTGCTCTCATGGCACCTTCCCTGAATGCTGGCTGTGTCTGTTTGGTCCTTAGTCTACTTGCCTCCACACCAAGGAGCACCCTGAGGTCACAGCTTGTGGTACCTGATTCACTTGCCCAAAAGTGACCATCCCAGGGCCCAAGGCATACAGGCTGCTGCAGAAATCAGTGGCTGGGCTGGGGCCAGGCTTGGGCCCCCCCAAGTCCCTTGAGGGCACACCTTGCTCCACCCAGCTGGCCCCAGAAAGCACTCCACCCTCCACCCTCCACCCTCCACCCTCCGCCCGTTGTGGCCCTGCTCTTCCCGTGAGGCTTCACCAGGCCAGCCTTCTCCCTGGCTCAGACCACTATGCAGCCCGGGCGGGCTCGTGACCTTGACTCACTCCCTTCATTTTGCTGAACTTTGGTTTTCTCATCTGCATAATGGGTTGTTGAGATCAGGATTCGGGGGAGATGCACATCAGTGCCCAAGAAATGGCGGTGATCTTAGAAGGGTCACTTCCTTGGCACCTCCCTTAGGTTGTCTTGCCATGTCAGGAGGCTCTGTGTGTGTCACCTTTTCTCTTCAGCGACTCCGTCATTGCCTTGAGGACAGAGATGCTGTCCTTAATGGCTGCATACTCTTTTCAGTCCTCCTGCCTGAACCCATTTATGGACTGACTCCCACTGGGAGAGGGGTCAAGGTCTTCCTCCAGCCCTGATGTCAGGATGCGCAGTCATTGCCAAGGGGGACTCTGCAGATCTCCTAGTGCTCTGGCCTCGGTGCTGCCAGAACGAGAAGCAGGTCCTGGAGTGAGGAGGATGGAAGTGTGGGTGGCTCCTGCTGGAGGATGTTCTAGGGCGGGGGCCGAGCCCCCAGACCCAGTGCCTAGTCATGGGGGCTCCCTCATCCCCAGACAGCACTGTGTAGGGGTAGGGCTGAGAAGCGGGGCTCACCCGGGAATGAGGGTGGAGAGCACACTCGTTGGTTGAGGAGACTGGGGTGTGGGTCGGCGGGTTCTCACGGGGGCGTGTCTCTGCCGCAGGTGAACGGGAAGGAGCTCTCCAAGCTGTCTCAGGAGCAAACCCTGGAGGCCCTGCGCTCCTCCAAGGAGCCTCTAGTGATCCAGGTGCTGAGACGCAGCCCCCGCCTCCGGGGGGACAGCTCATGCCATGACCTGCAGCTGGTGGACAGTGGCACTCAGACCGACATCACCTTTGAGCATATCATGGCGCTGGGCAAGCTGCGCCCGCCCACCCCGCCCATGGTCATCCTGGAGCCGTACGTCCTGTCTGAGCTGTGAGTCGCCCTCAGGAGGGCCCCGGGCCCTGCCTCCGGAGAGGGCACGCCCCCCAGAGGCTACGTTGCCGCAGCTCTGGGCGTGGCAGGGAGACCCCGACTGGCCTGCCCTCTCAGGCAGGAAGCAGGCTCCTTGGCCTCCAGAGCTGACTGTGGCATCCAAGGGCTCAGCAATCTCTAGGCCTCTACAGCCTCAGGCTAGGGCCCCGGGGGCGGTGGGGTGGGGAGGCTTCACACACAGGCTCCCTTTGGTATCTACCCCCCAGGGCCAAGGGAGGAGCATCCTGGGAGCTTGCTCCTGGAAGGTTGAGGGCCTCAGCCCCTTCCCGTCCTCCATCCTCTCTTCTCCTCTGCCGTCCATCGTCTTCTGCCTCTCAAGCATCCCTCCTTGAATCTTCTCACATCCTTGTCTGTCCCATCCTCCCCTGCTCTGAACTTCCTCCATCTCTTCGGCTTCTTTCTGGCCCAGTCGGAAGAAGGGCCTCTCATCCAGGCCCGGTGGCTCATTCCGCTCCTCTAAACCCGTGCTGCAGAGTGGTGGTCCCGGGATCCCCTCCTCCGCAGAGAGTGAGGCCCCTGGCCGCCAGCAGCCACGCTTAGCCTTGGGGCAAGGAGGGCTGCCCCTGGAGGTAGAGTGGGTCCTCCTCTACTCCCCAGCAGTCCTCTGGGGCCTGGATAACTCCTGGGGGCGTTGCATGGGGGGGGCGGGGGGGGCCGGGGCCGGGGGGGAGGGGCACCTGCAGTTTGGAGAAGTTGGTACCCTGCCGGCTGGGCTGGGCTGGGCGACAGGGTGGCATGGGGTGGGGAGAGCTAGGCATGCCTGTGTCCTCAGTGCAGACCCCTGCACACTCCCGTTCAAGAAGCATTCCTGGTCTTTGCATGGATGCATGTAGCTCAGAAGGAGGGGCTCCATGCCGAGCTCCCTGGGACCGGCCAGCCCAGGAGCCGGGGCTAGGGCACTAGAGGAGCAGATGGCTGGCCTGACCCCCCTTCTCCTGGGCAGCCCCCCCATCAGCCATGAGTATTATGACCCGGCGGAGTTCATGGAGGGCGGCCCGCAGGAGGCAGACCGTATGGACGAGCTGGAGTATGAGGTGAGCCAGGTGGCCAGGCCAGGGCAGGGATGGCTGTCGGCAGCCCAGCTCAGGCCTGGCTCCTCTTGTCCCCAGGCAGCCGAGCCTCGTGGCCCTTGCCGAAGCGCGGCTGCTTACTCAGGCTCACGGGCTGAGTTGGGGAGGGCATGGGTGAGGTCCCTTAGTCAGTCTGTGTAAGCGAGTCTGTGTCCCACGCATGTCTGTGTCCTGCGTGTCCTGTGTGTCTCGTGTGTGTCTCGGGCATTTCCTGGCAGGGGAGACCATGGCACACGTGTGCCACTCGGGGTGGTAAGAGAGACCCTCCAAGCTGGAGGCAGGAAACTTGGCTCCGGGGGCGTGCTGCTGGGGTTGGGGCTGGGCCGTGGCTGCCACCCCCGTAGCATGCCTCCTCGCTCACACGTTTTGGGGGCTTTCTTCCTTTGCTTCCCGCATGGCCCCTGTGGCAGGAGGTGGAACTGTATAAGACCAACCACCGGGACAAGCTCGGCCTGATGGTTTGCTACCGCACGGATGATGAGGAGGACCTGGGCATCTACGTTGGAGAGGTATGAAGGCAGGGTGCGGGAGTGGCTCTTCTAGGAGGCAGTGGGGCTCCATGCCTCCTCTTTGTGTGCTAGGACATCTGGGCTGGACGTGGATGGCATCCATCTGTACGGCACCGGCAGCGGGGAGGGGAGGGCACTGTGGTGGCAGGTGCGGAGGTGGGGTGTTCTGACACATGGAGAGTCCGCACGCTGTCCGATCTCTGTGGCCTCTCCATGCTGCCCAGGGCTCTGAGGCTGCCCAGAAAGCCCCGGCTGCCAGGGGCGGGGCCTGCTTAGCATCATACGGGGCAGCTAGCGGCTTCAGTGTGTGTTCGGCCAGGCCGTCCTCCCCAGGAGACTTGTGCCCAGGCTGGGACGGTGAGCAAGGCTGAGGTCTGGGCCCTGTGATGTTAAGCTCCTCCTGGTAGTCACAGGGTTGTGCTTCCCCACCTGTCCGTGGCAGACGCGTGTGTGTCCACAGGAGGGCGGATGGCTCGCCAGCTGCCCCCACACTCTCATCAAGTCTACCTTTGTACGAATATCTTACTGCCCATCGAGCCCCAAGGCTGGTGT